AAGAAATATCTGATTCTTTTTTATAAAGTTTTCTTCCATCTTTCTGTTTTGAAAGTTTTTTCCATTGATTTTATGTGTAACGAAAATAGCAGCCTCTGATTTCTGCATTTGAAAAATCCTGTTTAAATGCTGAAATTGCTGCTTTGCTGAGAAGTTGAACGATGAAAAAAACTCTAAGCGTTGCCACAAGAATAAAAAAATATAAAAAGAATTCAACATCCGGATAAATTAAAAAAATCATTTAGATCATTCATCAATACGACAAATGTGTTCAATGACATATGGAGTTGAAATAGATATGGCCGGAATTTTTTGCTGACGAGTTGAAGAAAAATCTTTTTTGCATGTTACGTATAAGCATATGGACATGTCAATTCAAAAATATCTCTTCTCAGATCACTTCCGTTGCCGAGATATTAGTTAAATAATCATAAAGTAACCGTAAATAACTACTTTTTCTGCCGACTATTTATAATCATACCTTAAATAAGTAGCTCGGGTACAGTATAGAGACATGTTATTAGGTGGGAGCTTACTTCCCATTGGTAGAAATCGTGAAAAAAATCAGAAGTCCGACGTGGTTAAAAATGGAAAAAGTCCTTATTTTGGAGCACGACAAAGGGCAATTTATAATATCATCGCAAATAAACATCACAAGACGCTGGTCGTTTATTCGGGAGACATTTAGAATAAAAAACGACAAAACCTTTCGGCTATCTTAAGGGAAAACTCACTAACAACCAACAAACTGTTTTCGGAACCATTTGAGCGCCGCTTCTTTCAATTCTCTTCTTGCATCTGTCCAGATAGGTCCACTTTTGGATGCCCTGCCAGCACTCATTTATCTTGATGTCTTTTGTTAATGCACTGCAATTCTCGATTAGTTCCTGTTCCTGATACAAACGGTTGTTGCGACGTGTTGCAATACCGTTGTTGTAAAAGTAAAAATTGAACCGATTCTTAAAAGTACAATTATTAAATCAAAAAATTCTCATCGTATTATCACCGTTCACATTGAATATTGATAATATCTTAAACTCGATTCAGCTTCAAATGCTCGTCTTCTATCGTCCCTGAATCAGGTTGCTTTCGGTAAGAAGACATTTAAACCGGACGCAGTACTGAAATTTTATTTAATCAATAATACGAAATTTAAAAAAGCAAATTTTAATCGAAAGAAGGAGCAAGCTAAAAATTTCTGTCGTATAATCATGTAGCTGGAAGCGATGAAAGTCAACAATTATCCAAATTCGGAAGAATTACAAAAGCTAATTCATCAATCAGTTTCAGAAGAATTCAACTTGTTTTCCGATTAAAAAATGTAGGCAGTGAAATTAGAATATGGTAAAATTAGAATGGTATTATACAAAGATTTCACTGATCTACGGATACTATTAAATCTAATAATCTAATAATTCACTAGTTTTTTAGTAGTGTATGTACCCCGATGAATTGCATTCAGTCTCTTTCCGTCTGTGTATGGAACAGGATTAGTTTTGTTTTGACATGCTAATTGAATTCTAATAAATAGCATTTTACACATGAGCTCTGTAGCACTTCAAATAAATAAGAAGATTATATTGCTTGCTATCGCTAATCCTTAAACTTATTGCTTCATAAAGTTGAATAATATAGTGAAGACAACAGTTTTCTCGAAAATAGTTTTGCTAGGACGTCTAAAGCATCAGACAAAAATCAAGTTTTTCTATTAAAATATGTCAGCAAATGATATTATACGCATTTTTCCACTACTTACTCTCTCGTTTATCGTGACGGCTGCCTTTTCGGATTGGTCGACCTCGGGCAATAGGATTTTCCACAATGCCTAAATTCCGGTGGAAATTCGGCATTGCCGAAGTTCACTCGAGATGTTGGGCAATATTGCCGAAATTCCACCGGAATTTGTCCAATTGCCCAATTTCAGTGGAAGTTTGGCAATAAAATTTCTGACGTCTGTATACTTAAAGTAGTCATGTCAGTTGTATTTTTCAATTGCAAAAAGTAAATTGATGTACGATAAAAACTGGGTATAATAATAATAAAAAATAGAACTAGCTCAAGCCCTCAGTGCAGTTGACTTAAACGTGTAGCCATATTGACGTAGATGACTGTTGATAAATGTAAGTGAGCGAGCTGTGTTTTACAAAGAAACAATAGGAACCAGAAGCGCATACCAAGCGTTTCAATATATCTCATCAAACCGTACAAAATCAATATCAATAAAGCCCTTAGTAGCCTGATCAGATGCTGTCATGAAATAAACAAGACATATTTCAGCTCAATTTCGCGTTTCGTAAAAAAATATTCTTTTGTATTGAAAAATTGTTCTATTAGTTGTAAGACGCTTCCACTCTTGTCCATACTTTACGGGCGTTGTGCAATTTAAAACAAAATTACAATCGGCACTTTAATTATAAGACAGGCTAAAATTACATTGCCCAACTTCCAGTGCAATTGGGCAATTGCTCAAAAACAGTGGAATTTCGGCAATGCTGCCCAAATTTCAGCGGAAATTCGGCAATGCCGAAGATCAATCGTCGAATATCCTATTGCCCGATATCCGGTTTACCGCTTTTTCACTCAAAAGATTTATTTTTATTATTCTCAATCTACTCATAGTCACCATGCAACAACAAACAAATGGGTACTTCCGGACAGGTCCGCCCGCTTTATACACGACTTAAGGCTGGGAAGGCTTCACTGTTTGCAATCGATAGCCCTACTAAAGATGTGTAAGACCTCCTGTCGCCCCATGGAAAAATTATTCCGAAAACGGGTTTTCCTTAGCCATAAGTTCTGAATTGAAGCATTTTTAGGGGTGCTAGAACAGCGAAATTCGACCTTATCTAATACTATCAAGCGTTCTCATACTGCCGGCCGGAAAGTGCATACAAAGTTGCATATTTCTATCCGCAAATAAGATTTTCTCCTCTGACATTTCGAAAGAATTTTTGACTGGAGGACCTGATCTGCATTAGCAGATATCACTTGTTTTATGGCGTATTGGACGAGCTCAAAATCTAACAAAACATAACTTTATTTATATTCAAATGAAAGCAGGTTCCAAGTTTGTTCGTATGACGCAACAATGAAGTCTCTAGCACTTTGCACTTCTTCCTGGTAAGCGTAGCCATGAGACCTACTTTGGCCTTTCCCAGCCTGCTGTGTCGAAAACGACATGCCATTTCTTCGAGATCTGGTTATCCCACACACTACACGACTAGTGCTACAAAAGACGCAGGGTATTGACTTTGACCAGATGGTTTTTCATGTGGTGGTGTTCTAGAAATCCTGTCAAAATCCTCGGTTTCTTATAAACATTGAATCCAAACTAACCTGAAATTCAGATTCAGTATGTTATTTTATGGATAATTTAGTATCTTTTCCAGTTCCTGACCGTAGCCAGATAACAGGATTTCGACGAGATTCTATCCTATCTGACTACTTTGACTTTTTTCGAATTTTTACGTTGAAAAATTACCGAGATATTCACTCAAAATTGAAAATCAACTAAAACTTGCGAAATATATATCAATCGACTCAGTTGTTGATTCTGATTCCGAATATAATATTTTCATTACTCAAAAGTTGAGTTCTGATAGAGAAAATTGGAACTTACGGTCAGAATTCCGAGTTTTCGCCTCTTATCTAGAAAAATCTAAAAAAAACGCCCGTTAAGTGGTTAAACTACGTACAACTCTGTAACGACACATTGCTTAGACTCAAGAATTCTGTCATAACTACTAGATAGTGTCTACTACAAATTCACACAACTGCGCGCTCCAGACATGCTTTGGTTCTTTTACAGTAGAGAACACATACCGTGACAGTCCAAATCATGGATCCGATCATTTTTAAGCGAGATTTTTTCTCGGAAAATGGAGCAAAACTCTCACTCCCTATGATATTGTTGGAGTACACTATGTATACTAACATGAGCTATGACAGAATTTTCGGCATCTTTTAAAATCCTCTGAAAAACCATACCATGAAATTTTTCAATCGAATTTGGGATTTTCACATCAAACACTTTACAGAGTATATCAAGTTACACATGTCAAGCTATTTTTATAACTACTAGATAGCTTGACATGTGTAACTTACATATGCTCTATAAAATAGCTGATGTCAAAATTCCAAAATGGATCGAAAAATGTATGGTCTGGTTCTCTAGAAATCTCACTTGGTTTTCCATGGGTTTTCAAACATCCCAGAAATCCCACCATGGCTCATGCTGGTACATTTGATGTACTCCAACAATATCTTAGGAGGCGAGAAATTCGTCCCATTTTCCAGAGGAAAATCGCCTTCCAACATGTGCAGATCGATGATTTGGGCTCTCACAGAGTCATCTACCGCAAAGGAACGAAAACATGGCCCGACCTCGCGGTTGTGTAAATTTGCAGTAGACACTATCTAGTATTTATAATAAAGTTGATTAGTCTAAATCATATGTCATTACGAAGTTACATGTAAAGTTGACAATTTTCCAAGATGTTGATTTATTGGCGCTTTCGTAAAAGCTGAATATCTCCGCAACGCAACAACTTTAGGACCTTCGATTTTCGCCGAAAATCTCGAAAATGTTTGCTCTAAAGAAGCCCGTACTATGGAGGACATCTGAGATGGTCGATTGAGTAGTATTATACGGTAATAAGTCGTGGCTTCTCTTAAATGGCTCGAATGAAATGTGTTCAACTTATATTAAAGACAGGCTAAAGAAAATAATCATAAATCAAACGCAAAGCGTTGATAAAGCACTGACGGATCGTTAGCTGAACAGGTCTCATTATGAATTTAAAATAATGTTATTTTACATTTATGACAGTGAAAATCAACTGTACAGATTTCGGTTTCAGACACTATAACTAATTCTTTGTCCGCTACAACAACATTATTAACGACAGATTTTGAGTTTGGTGAAATTATTTTTCTAATAGTACACCATTATCATCGAATATTTGTACTCCATCACCGCAGCCAACATACAAATTACCATTCTAATCAACTTTAATTTCATCCGGTATTCTCGATTGTACAGGTGTTAATAAACGCTTATTATAAAAATGAATATGTTTATATGGTTGACGATATATTTGATGAGAATAAATAACACGTGGTACATGTGAATTAATCGACCCGTTTGCAACAGCACAACCGTTATCTATAACATATAAAATTGTTTCTTCTGGATTAACTCCAATACCATCTGGTTTAACAAGATTATTAACTAATATTTGAAAATCTTCATTTATATCAGATCCATAAACATTATTATCCAATTGAGGTTGACAATAATGAAATATTTGCATAAAACCATATTGTGAATCAGTAAAACACATTGATTGATCGTTACAAGAAATAATAACATCATTTGCACTATTTAATGACAGATTATTATAGTGTGTTACAATTCGGAAGACTGAACATTGTGACGGCATCCCTAGTTTGACTCAATGAATAAGAACACACGTATCGAGAGTAGCTAAAACTGAAGCTTATAAGCGTAAAAGCAAATGAATTCTACAATGGGCAATTAAGCGGACATTTCGTAAAAAGTCGAAAGTGCGGTTTTTCAAAATTCCAAAAGTGTCAAATATACTTTGATCTACAGTACTGACAGAAGAAAGTGCACCAGTATTATTATTTAATTTTCGTAATTCATTTGACGAGATAGTTTGTCCACGATATACAGTTTCAATACAGGCATTTTCAGCCGAATATGTAGTTTTTGTATTTGTTTAATGATCAAGAAGATGATCAAAGAACTGTTTTTCTGCATCCACCGCTCACCCTCTTAACAATACTTTCATTAAGCTCCATTCTCCATTCCAAAATCTCCTGGAAAAACATTGCATATCCTTTTCAATACTCACCAGTTAGGCAATCTTCTTCAGGTTTTTGAACACTTTTGAAAGGTTTATCAAAAAATATTTCAACGTATTTTTGAGGCAATGCATTTTGAAATTAAAAAAAGTTTAAGTTTTCAAATTTTAAATTTCATTTAGTAGTCAATCTTTGACATTCTTTGAAGGTCGTTCTTCTTTTCAGAATCTACGGGTATGTACACGAAAGACGTCCAAGTCAGATAAAATAAATTTACAACAGTTATTTTCTCTTGGAATTCGGAGAGATATTCAACAGGTAATTATTCTTTATCAAAAGACTGTTTAGAATTTCATATGGTTCGGTTTCATTATTATTGCAATGTGGATTTATTATGAATATGAAACATTTTAGCAATGAAGATGCATTACAATAGCAGTACGCTTACTCGTGTAAGTGCGATGCTTTTTACAGACTAAACATGGACAACAAAATAGTCTCTTTATTTATCATATTGACATCTACCACAATGAATCTTTTACTGTTACATAAAAACAGCCCGAAGGCTCTAATTTTTGAAAAACTCGCTATCTATCAGGTTTTGTAATTTCAGTTCAACAACAACGATCGTCACAAGGCGTACGTAGGAACCTCGCGAACTGTCACGTCGCCTTTTCAGTCAAATTAGTCGGTTTTAGGTTATCAGCTATGCTAAATGTCCGAATATCACAGTGGTAGTTGCTCAGGTGCCTTTAGAGAGTGGTTTTCTAGAAAACCAGTTTTTCAAAAACTCTAAAAGTAATCAAAACCTTTTTTGATGAGGCATGATTGTAGCCAACAAATTTTTGAGTAAAATGAGACATCTCCTACCTCTACACGACCTTTCTTTGCAAAGTTATAGAATCTAAAGCCCTAAGTGTTCATTGTCAGCTCGAAGCTGCAGAAGTAAGAAGAAACGAATTCAAGGCTTCTCTGGTAAACTCTATAACTTGGCAAAGAAAGGTCATGTAGAGCTGGGAGATGTCTGATTTTAATCAAAAATTTGCTGACTACAATCATGCCTCATTAAGAAAGCTACCACTATGATATTCGGATTTAGTATGGCTGATAACCTGTAAC